GTGGGAATACCCACTCTTTTATCCTGATTGACTATGCTGACTGTTGAGTCCAAGTCCCTGGACGCCAGGTATTAGACGAAGAAGACATGAGAAGTTGTGGGCATATGGGAGAGTTTTTATTGCAGCCCTAGTAACCATTGCTTCTAAGGAGCCATTAGACAAAGCATAAGTAGTCCCACAAAAGCAGCCATTGTACACACAGCTTTACATAAAAGCAGCCTCAGTAGACATAGGAGCTATCACACAAAGTAGTCTGAGTAGGCACCCTCTCACTGGCTGGTCAGTAACACATCTTTATTCTAACTTAGACAAAAGAGGATTCTTGCCAAAACAGTGACTCAGTATTTGGGTTATAGAAAAGCACGCCTGCACAATGCATACAGTGAAACTGCTGTGTCCTTGCGCCTACATGTGGCTACTTGGCCTTGAACATCTGGCACACTCTGATCAGGGTTCCCATAATCAGTTATATTATTATTCAATTAGGTCAGCACTTTTTATGTGGTATTAAATGACATTTAAAAATGTATATAATTGATTTCAGAGAGGAAGGGAGAGAGAGAGATAGAAACATAAATGATGAGAGAGGGCAGTTGGAAAGCACCAGGCCTGCAAGGGAGGGCAGTTGGAGGCGATCAACCCTGCAGGGGAGGGCAGTTAGGGGTGACCAGGCCAGCAGAGGAGGGAAGTTGGGGCAAACAGGCTGGCAGGGGAGCAGCTAGGCATCCATCAGGCTGGCATGAGAGTGGTTAGGGGGTGATCAGGCTGGCAGGCAGGCACGCAGTTGGGAGCCAGCTGTCCTGGATTGTGAGAGGAGTGTTCAACTGTCCATTTAAGGTATTGTGCCTAAATGGGCAGTCAGATATTCCTCAGGGCGTCTCAGATTAGAGAGGGTGCCAGGTTGTCTGAGGGACACCTCCCGTGCATGAACTTCATGCACTGGGCCTCTAGTCTATATATATTGATATATATAAAAGACAAGTAACCAGAATGACTAGCATGATCACAACAACCAGTTCCTATGATGGATATTGAGGCCAATTGACCAGCCTGATGAGAGGTGGGGTACCGGATCCAGCCGGTACTACAGGTCCTGAAGATCAGGCTAGGTGGCTCAGGAAAAGAAAGAAAAGAAAAAAGAAAAGGACAGGAACAGCGGGGCTTCAGGAGGGCTGGAATGCTCGATGGCACTGCAGCAGCAAGTTTATTAAAGACGCAAACTCTTTTATACCCTAAAGCTGGGCATTCCTCCAAATGGCCTTCTCTCAGGGCATGATGGCTTCATGCCAGTTCCTTAAGACCTACACAGGGAGATAGCTGCCTGGGATATTTCGTCTAGCTGTACTCTGCTATGTTAATTCGAGGACATGTTTACAGATTCCAATTATGCATGCACAGCAGAATAAAGGACACTGTTGCTTGCCACGTCCCCAAGTGACCCGACTCCTGGGGGAGAGCAGGCAGGGCTACCTACCCTTGCTCCATCCCCTGATTCTCAGGTCGACAGGGGACTCGGCTCCCAACAGCCGGGCTGGCCAGCAAACCTTCCTTGGCCCCTCTCCCAGGCCAGCCAGCCTCCCTTGGCCCCTCCCCTTGCCAGCCCAGCCCACAGTTGAACCCCAATCTGGGGTGGGGCAGGTGGCCAACAATCCTTAGCACCTCCTTCCAGCCATCCTGGCCAGATGCCACCCATGCACAAATTTGTGCACTGGGCCTCTAGCTGTAAATAATGCTGCAATGAACATAGGGATACGTATATCTTTTAGAATAAATTTTTTGAATTTCTTCAGATAAATATCCAGAAGTTAAATGGATGGTTCTTTATAATGGTTTCTATGTCTTTTCTCTTGTTTGCTTGTTTGTTTACAAAATTTCTTTGTTGAAGTTCTTCCCCCATATTTTACCATAAGTTTCTGAGCATCCTTATAACCATGTTTTGAACTCTACATCTGGTAGATTGCTTGCCTCCATTTTAGTTACTTAATTTCTGGTATTTTGTTCTGTTCTTTCATTTTGACATGTTTCATTGTGTTCTCATTTTGATTGCCACTTTGTATTTATTTCTATAGAGAGAGAGAGCGCGCGAAACATCAATGTGAGAGGAAAACATCCATTGGTTGCCTCCTGCACATGCTCCTATCAGGATTGGACCAGCAATCAGGGTATGTACCTTCACTGGGAATCAAACCCACACTGTTTCTGTGCAAGGGATTACCTTTCAGCAAGTGTGGCGAGGCTCCATTAATTGAGCCAGGGGGGCTCTAGTCCACCATCTTGACTGGAACCTGTATGAATTTTCATTGAGCTATTAATGGAGTGTGTGTTCAATTTCTCCAAATGTATACTTTTAACTTTTTTGTTTGTTATTGATGAAGGTTCACTACATGTGTAGTCAGAGAATGTTAACTATGTATAAAGCTGTTCCTAGAACTTGGATGAAGAAACAGATACCACGAAGAGAAGAAAGAGTCATGAAGTACCCATACATACACCCCAAAACTGGCATATAACAGAAATGGCATTTCTGATGAGATAGGCATCTGATGAGAATGGCATTTCTGAGGAGATAGCCAGGGAAAGGTGAGGGGAGGGTAATAGGACTTTTAAAAGAATATTATCAGATAACTATTTATCCTTGTGGGAAAATGAAAGATTTAATATCTTCCATTATCTTAAACCAACACAAATTCCAGAATAAGCCTGTTTTCTTGTCTCTTTCAGCTTCATTGCTTGGCTCATTGGCTCATGGCCCTTCTCCCCTGTTCAAAGCCAGCAATGGCCGGGCAAGCCTTCTCATGTTATCTCACTTTGACACTCTTCTGTCTCACACGTCCCTCTGCTTCCCTCCTATAAAGATCCATGTGATGGCGCTGGGCCATGTGGATAATCCTGGGCAATCTCCTCATCCCCAGATCTTTAATCTGCCATCTTATGTAAATTAACACATTTACATATTCTGAGGATTCATTAGGACCTGGACATCTTTAGAGGACCATCATTCAGCTATCACATATATAAATCTCTCTCTCTTTTAATGTTTTATTAAAATAGAATCCACTCTCACAAAGTTTTGGGTGTATGCCAAGTGACTTTTCACAGCCTGAACAAGTTTCTAGATCAAGAAACAGAACAGTACCAGTTCCCCAACACCCCATCCTTGGTGCTGTCTCCCAGATACTGTCCACAGCCTCTGCCACAGCAGGTTGACTTCTCTGTCCTACTATCAGAGGTTATGCCCTTCAATGAAATCACAAAATGTAGACTCTGTATCTGGCTTATTTTGCTTATGTTTGTACATTTTATCCATGTTATTATTAATAGGTGTCTTTTATCTTATTGCTGTACAGTACTTCATTGTATAAATGTACCACAATTTACTTATATACACATGCTTATGGACATTTGACTCTTTATGAAGAGTGTTGCCATGAACTTCTGCATGCCTTTTTGTGAATGTATGTACTCATTTCCACTCAGCAATGGAATCACTGGAACATTTAGTATGCATGTGCTCAACTTTAAAAAAATACCGACAGCCTGGCTGGGGTGGCTCAGTGGTTGAATGCTGACTCATGAACCAGGATGTCACTGTTTCATTCCTGGTCAAGGCACATGCCTTGGGTGCCAGCTTGATCCCCAGTAGGAGGCTTGCAGGAGGCAGCCAATGGAGTATTCTGTCATCATTGACGTTTCTATCTCTCCCTCTCCCTTTCTCTCTCTGAAATAAAAAATAAATAAATAAAATAAAATAAAATAAAATAAAAACGTTAAAAACATATCACCAAATACATTTCTAAAGCGGTTGCAATTAACACTGTCACCAGTAGCAGTAAGTGGGTGCTACTTGCACCATATATTTGCTCCTGCTTGGTATCATCTACATTTTTTATTTTAGTTCTCATGGGAATGGTTTAGTAATTTTCATTTACATTTTACTGGATAATAATGGACTGTAGCATTTTTACATATGTATATTGACCATCTATATACATTTGTATATGAAACTTTGCTTCAAATCTATTGGGTTATCTTTTTCATATTGGCTTGGAACTTATTTATATATTTTAGTAACAAATTCTTTTCATTTGTATCTGCTGAACAAATATTTTCCTACTCTGTGATTGCTATTAGATTCTCTTGATCAGAGTTCTTAATTGTGGTGTAGACCAGTTTGCCATCCTTTCTGCTTGCTATTAGTGTCCTTTATATCTTCTTTTTCTTAAAAATACACTTTTTTATTGATTTTAGAGAGACGGAGGAAGAGAGAGGCAGAGGGAGAGAGAGAGGGTAAAGGAGAGAGAGAAACATCATTGTGAGAGAGAAACATTGACTTTCGGCCTCCTGCATTCCCCTCCAGGAGATGGAGACCACAAACTGGACATGTGTCCTGATCAGGAATCAAACCTGTGACCTCTTGGTCTATGGGCCAATGCTCAATCAACTAAATCACACCATCATGTCATGGCACTGACATGTCAGGGCACATACCTAAGTTGCAGGTTTGAGCCCTGGTAGGGGCTCATACAAGAGACTACTAATCAATATTTCTCACATTATTCTTTTTCTCCCTTTTCTTATTTTCTCTCTGTCTAAAATCAGTAAACATGTTCTTGGATGAGGATTTAAATAAATAATGCAAGGTACTTTCTTTTTACTATTGCTTTTCCTTTATACAGCAATACTATACACCTTTTGAATTAAAATATAAATTAAATTATATAACACAACAGTGTTGAAATTTTAATTACTAATATGATGCAACTTACATTTTGCACTTTTTTTATTGTCATGAGTGAACTTAGCCAATGAGGAACCAAGGGAGGGACCTGAGCATCAGGAATAAAATGTTGGTGGTAAACCCTTTGGGTGTGCCTGCCCACCAGACACCTGATCTTGCCAGACTGACATTAAACACCTCACCTTTGCTGTAATTTGTGTCTCCAATTTCTTTTTTTATTTAATTTTGGACTGGTGAGTGTATTTCTCATAATATATAAAGATTAACACATTCTCAGAAGAACACAGAGTAGGCACAAAAGATTACATGCTGCCAACTGTGGTGCTTGTCCCTTTGGATGCCAATTTGGATATTCTGTCAATAAAAAACAACAGTTAGGAGCTCAATTTAGTTTCAAGGGACCCAAAGTAATTAAGTCAATATTCAGATAGCTTTATACATACTTGTAAGTCTTTCACGTACTTCATTTCCTATAATAGAAAAAGTAATATAAAATTAGAAATATTCATTTGCTTTTTTGGCTTTTAGAATAAGTTAACCAACTTAGTAAACAAAATTTGGCCTTTTAGCTTAAAAAAAAAAATGAAAGCTTCCTCCCCAAATACTGTTGTACTTAAAAATTCATGTGATGGTCTCTGCCAACAATGTCATTTCCCCAAATATTTCTAAAATACCTTTTGCTTGAAGGCATAAAACTAAACATAGACAAAAGTATATTATTTTATAGTTGATACTCTGTCATACCCATTTAAAAATCTATGAAAAAGGTAGTCCTTCATGTAGTGTTTTGGGTACCCATAGCCTTCCATGAAATAGCTCACTCATTTCTGCACTGGTCCTTGCTCCAAATTTTGCTCAATCTCTTTCCCCCTTCAAATTATTCTCCTCTATTTATTGTTCTCTCAGCAATCTGCAGTTTGTTAGGAATTCATTTATTTATTTGTTTGTTTTTTTATTCCTTCCTTCCTTCCTTTCTTTTTTTAATTAATTAATTTATTTTTTTTAATTGCCTGCTGTGTATTGAGCATGATTCCAGCCTTTGGACATAATGATTATCAGAACAAAATAAAGTTCATCTCCTTATAGAAAAATAAGGAAAGAAAATCTATCATCATTTTAAAAATGGACTAAGGAAATAAAAATGAGTGAAAATGACCATTAAAGAGAGTGATTAGTATTATTAAAAAATGCCTCAAAAGATAGAAAATAAGGAACTTAAACTATTAGCTAAAATGTATTGAGAGCTTACTTTATTTTGTGCTCAAATAACTTTGTATGACACTTAGATGCTCTTAATCACCTCCTTAGTAAAATCACCTCTCATAATTCAGGAGGCACAGAGAGGCCCAAGCAACAACCAAGATTATAAAAATAATAAGAAAACAAGAATACAAGACATAATAAATAAACAAAAATGAAGGAGAAAATAAGATGTGATAAAAGATTTAAAAATTAAAAACTGCAGAGAACAACCAAGATGGCGGCTTAAGTAAACATCTGTACTTGCTCCTCTTATAACCACATAAAAACTACAAACAAGAGACAAAAAAAATATCATCCAGAACCATAGGAAATCTGGCTGAGTGGAATTTCTACAACTAAAAAGAAAGAAAAAAGCACATTGAGACTGGTAGGAGGTGCAGAGGTGAGGAGATGAAGAGGCACATGTGAAATGGGCTGGCAACTGGGTGCAGTGCTGTTTTTTTTTCTATTAGGAGGGATATACAAGCTCTTGATTGCTCTGAACTTCAGTTCCAGGTGAGACTCTGGGGACTCAGACTCATATGTGAAGAATCTGGACTGGTACAGAACACGATGGCAGCTTTCTCTCAGAGGTGCTTGCAGCAATCATTGTTCCGGAATGGGGTCTGGGGACACAGAGATTAGGGGATCTCTTGAGGGTAGAGCTGACAGGCAGCCATTGCTCTTTGCTCTGCCCTGCTGATTTCCTGAGTCCCCATCCAACCCAATTTACAATCCCACCCAAGCTCTGAGCAGCAACTTTTGCATATGAATGGCCTGTCCTTTTGAAACCTAAAATCTAACAAACTTTAGCTGGGTCAGAGAGCTCCAAAGCTTCCAAAAGAAGGCCTAAGGTCCAGCAGCAGCAGCCTGCATTGTTTCACAGCTGGGCCTCATCTGGGCACTTTGAAACCTGATACAAAAAGGAGGAATCTACATATCTCACTGTAGCTCCTGCTGGGTAGCATCAGGCAGTGGCTGATTTTGCACCTCCTTGGAGATCCAAGAGCCAGTGTACCCAGTGGTCAGTGTAAGACCATACCAGATTACAACTCCTTACATCCATAAGCAACACACTTAAGGGGCTGACTCAGTGAGCGCCAAAGCCCCAATGAAGCAAGTTCTGCCCTATAAGGGTGTCTCCAGCACAGCAATTCTCCCACTGTAGACACAGCTGGCCTTCACAGCCAATTGGCCTGGAGGTCAATTCCTCCCAGTGATACCAACAGCAATTAAGGTTTACTTATAACAAGACTGTGTGCACAGCCCATAAAGGGGTGCACCAATAGTGTCCACTTCAAGTGACTGGGGAGGCTGAGATACTAGTCCCTAAAGGACACCTAGCACACAAAGCAACTCTATCAACATAGAGAAGCAGCCAAAAATGGGAGACAAAAATACATGTCACAAATGAAAGAAATGGAGGAAAGCAAACTACTGGATATAAAGTTCAAAACCATAGTTATAAGGTTACTCAAGAATCTTTAATTACAATCAAGGGCATGTACCTTGGTTGCGGACACATTCCCGGTGGGGGATGTGCAGGAGGCAGCTGATCCATGATTCTCTCTCATCGATGTTTCTAACTCTTTATCCCTCTCCCTTCCTCTCTGTAAAAAATCAATATCATATATATATATATATATATATATATATATATATGTATTATTTTTTTTTAAAGAATCTTTTAGAAACCTCTAAGAAATTTACTGAGACCCTCAAGGATATGAAAAATGACCAATCAGAAATTAAGCATACACCAACTGAAATAAAAAGTAATATACAGAGATCCAACAAGCAGACTGGGGGATCCCAAGAATCAAGTCAAATATTTGAAATATTAAGAAGCAAAAAACACCCAATGGGAAAAGAAAAAGAATCCAAAAATATGAAGATAGTGTAAGGAGCCTCTGGGACAACTTCAAATGCACCTACATCTGAATTATGGGGTGCCAGAAGAAGAGAGATAGCAAGATATTGAAAACCTATCTGAATAAATAATGACAGAAAACTTACCCTACCTGGTGAAAGAAATAGACTTACAAATCCAGTAAGAGCAGAGAAACCCAAACAAGAGGAATCCAAAGAGAACCACACCAAGGTATATCATAATTAAAATGCCAAGGACAAAAGATAATAAGAGAATCTTAAAGGCAGCAAGATCCGAAACCAGGTTTGGCTCAGTGGATATAGCGTCAGCCTGCGGACTGAAAGGTCCCAGGTTCGATTCTGGGCAAGGGCATGTAGCTGGGTTGCAGGCACATCCCCAGTGTGGGGTGTGCAAGAGGCAGCTGATCGATGTTTCTCTCTCATCGATGTTTCTAACTCTCTATTCCTCTCTCTTCCTCTCTGTAAAAAAAATCAATAAAATATATATATTTTTAAAAAAGCAGCAAGATTAAAACAGCTAGTTACCTACAAGGGAGTACGCATTCGACTGTCAGCTGATTTATCAACAGAAACTATGCAGGCAGGAATGGAGTGGCAAGAAATATTCAAAGTGATGAATAGCAAGAACCTACAGCCAATATTACTCTACCCAGCAAAGCTATCATTCAGAATTGAAGGTCAAATTATAAAAATAAGAAAAAAGTTAAAGAAGTTCAGCACTGCTAAACCAGTATTATATGAAATGCTGAAAGGAATTCTTTAAGAAGAGGAGGAAGAAGAAAAATATAAAGATAAAAATTATGAACAACAAAGGGACAACAAATATGTGTCTATCAACAAGTGAGTCTAAAAATCAAGTGAATAAAAAATCTGATGAAAGGAATAAAATGGTAAATATAATAGAGTCAGGGATATAGAAAGGGAGTGGACTGATAATTCTCAGGGGGGAAAGGGATGCGAGAAGAGATTGGACAAAAATCTTATACCTATGGATGAGGATAGTGGGTGGGTAAGGGCATGGGGTAGGGTGGGAACCAGGTGGAGGGAGCTATAGGGGGGGGGGGAGAGAAGAACAACTGTAATAATATGAACAATAAAGATTATTTTAAAAAATAAATATATAAAATTAAAAATTAAAAACCACCCTGTATCTATCTCTTTGCAATCATTTCAAACTATTTGTTAAAATGGACCAGTTTTAAAAAGTATACTTATTCAAAGAGGAGTTGAGAGTACAAGTACATTTAAAAAAATTAAACTTACAATGTAATGCTTTCAAAAAAGTATCCAAAAAGCAAAAAAGACAGAAATATTTTGATGAAGTTTACAACATTAAAGAAAATGTTTGGGGATCATTTGAAGGGATGCAGAAAATATCTGATAAAATTATTCATTCAAGATAAAAGGTCATAGGAAAATAAGAAAAGAGAAAACTACCATAATCTACCCATAAAAACTAAATAAAAACACTCTAAAGCAAAAATACATAATGTTGAAACATGTCCTTAAAGTATGGAACAACAAAATGGTCTCCACTATTATAAATTATTGTATTGGAAGATTCACTGACTATAAATATTAGTAAAATAAATAACTGATGTAAAAGTTTATTTGATAAAACAAACTTATGATTTTTATAGAGAACATTAAGAAAAGACAAGGGTATTAAAAACTATTCATAAGAGAATTATGTAAGATATCTGGATATTGGACTAATATAAAAATAATTTATATTTCTATTAACTAGCAAAAGTCAATTAGGAAATATCATTTTAATATGCCATTTTAAACAACAAATACATGCTATTAAGAAATCTAACTTGATGAGCAAGGCCTTTACTGAGAAAAGTTTAAAACTTAACTGAAAACATTTAAACTCAATCTTTATTAATATAGTGAATGCTGTAAAGACGTTTCGGAACTGGCACAATATCAAATCCCTTATTCAAGGCAAGGAGAAATACGCTCCACTGGTCGATGAGAGTAGAGGGAAGGGGTGTGTGTGTGTGTGTGTGTATCTGTGTGTGTGTGCCAGGGTTGGAAGCCACCTTTAGAATCAATGTACCACACCAAGAAACAGAATATCACCAAAACTAAGGGAAAATAAAACAATCTTGAAAGTAGAAAGAGACCCAGAAGTGATTGGGATACTGAGTTTTTAAAAGGGGTTAAACTATTTGAAGGTGTTGATAATGGAGCTTGGGGCAAGGGGGTTAATACAC